GATAAAATGGATGCCATTTTTGAAAAAGTGGACCAAGATGGACATATCAGTAGTAATGACGTAGCTGAAGAACTGCAGATTGATCACAAAATAGTTTTGGCGCATTTGAAAAAGCTTTTTTTTTTGATGGATTGCTTTGATGAAATTTAACCATTTGAATGTTTGTACCTATAGGTATATGTTGCAGAATATCTCCATCATCATTACGAAGATCGTTTGATTTAGTTTCTTTTTTTTTAAATTGCTAGTTACTCGATTACTTTATTACTCGATTGTAGAGAGGGCGTGATCATCGATATTTTTAATTTTATTAGAATGGTAACACTGACTTTGGCAGTTCGTTAACGAAAAGCAAGTTGCCGCCAATTTGGCACGCATTCTATTTCTGATCGCCGAGGAGAAAAGACATCCGACGACATCACGCTCATCTCGTTATATTTTCGTATGAAAAGTGATGAAATGGAATAAATCCACATTGGTATACACGCCTGCAATGTTATTTTAAAGATGATCCCTCGATATGGACGATCTATTTGGGCTTCGTAATAGCCCCTATCTGACTACCCGCCGTCATATAAATATTTATTATAGTTACAATATATGCTTTCTGCTTTGTGTTTAGTACTATTGATCAATATGTTTCTAATTCGATTGTAACCTATTGTGTGAACGTTTCTTTTAATCAAAATAAATAAATTTTATTAAAAAATGTTTTGTATTTTCATATAAAATTCGAAGAAACTTTTTCCCTCACCTATTATTTGTTTAAATCTATTAGTGACTATTTACGGAGTATATTCATTAATTGAATGGAACAGAATCATCATGGAACGTCTTGTTGTGTAGATACTTTACAATTTAGTACTTATAGACGGTGAAAGAGACCCAAGACTTGTGACTTCAACTTAAAACTCGTGAATACTTTTCTTCTGGCTGTTTATCTGCATGGATTTAAAATAGTAAACCTTTAGCAGTAGAACTGTGTCTTGCTCTAGTCGAACATATAGAACTTAAGTGTTTAAGAAGGAAAATACAAACATCAGCGACGACATAGGTGCAAAATTTTAATGTAACAATTTTACCCTTTTTGAGGATCCATATGGATAGCGCGTTTTGCCGGATACCAGATTTCTCCGGGTATACTCAAGTATTTCAACTGCTAAATTAGTCGCTGCTGTAATTCAAAAATATGCATGAAATTTTTCGCATAAACTCAGTCCTAACCGGCCGTTGGGTTTGTTAGCAATTACTTTTTACTACCGCAAATTAATGAGGTAATAATTTCCATGTAGAATAATATTACGATTAGAACCTTAGTCACGGACTGTATAATGTTAAAACGGTCAGTTTAAACCATATTTTCTCATTAAACAATCTGAAATTAACAAGAAAAAGGTACTTTGATTACATTCATAAACCGTTATAGTAATAGAAGAGTCTTCTAACGGATAAGTCGTATACAGTTTCCTGTAAAATTAGGAAAAACTTTGAAAGTCTTAAAGTGTTAACAGCCAAATCTTTCGGTTGCTTGAATCTGATGTGGCATAATCAGATGACGCGTCACAGTACACCCCGGATAATGTGCAACTTAATACATATCTGCATTACTCAACTATTCAGCTTGTGGTTGCTATGCTACAGTTAGTGGTACTAATTTCTATGCAAAACTGCGGCTTATATATAATGAGGTAGTTATACAAATCAGAATAGAGGAAATAAGGATAGATTGCAATCCTACTAAAAGGCGTGTAGAGATTCAGTCTAGGATAGATAATTAGGATAGATAGATAAAGTGAGTAAAGAAAGGAGTAGTCAGAGTATGAGTATTGTAATTATGTACACTGCTGCTCGTCAGGTTATAATATGCCAATATTCTCCAGTTGATTTTAAAATTTATCCTTTTAATATTAAGGTTTAAAATCAAGTGGAGAAATTTGACAGACATACTGTTGATACCTATCGATTACGCTTTAGTTCTTTTATAATCTCGGCGAAGTTTCAGTTTTCATTCTACCTTATTTTAGTGGTCGCGTCACGAATACCAACATCGATTTACAATTTGGCATCGAGTACAGCAGAGCTTAGTGTCACGGCACAGTGCGTTTATTTTCTGGATATCGATTACGGGGATATCTCTTCCGTCACACTCTCGTCATGTCTTCTCTTTGAAACAACATTTAAGGATTTACTAGCCTTTGCTTGCGTCTGCTCTGTTGAACTATATAGTGACCAAAAAAAAAAAAATTTCCCTAAATTAAAGTATTTATTGTAATTTGCCTAAATGTTCTTTAAATGAACGGTATTTCAACGCATCGACAAATAAAGATGGTTTTACCGACAGGTAGGGACGTTTGCACTTGTAGTAGATTTTATCAATGATTGTGTACTACACGTTGACGATCATTTAAGCTTTATTTTTCTTTAATAAAATAAAACCTTCTTTCAGCATTTAGATTAGGTTTTATTTGATCGAAGGTCTACACTGTGAAACTACCGTGCATCAGGTCGAGTTCATTACTGATTTTTTCTCAGAGTATCGCTACAGATCCCTTTCACGATTCTCGTCATTGCTTTGACGGTTAACGTAGACAAATAACGTCAGCTGTGCTATCGATCGTCCGTAAACAGATGTTCGACTTAACACTTGTAGGTATTATTATAAATGTATACATAGTTAATCATATCCTGAAAATAACCTCTTACTTATCAGATATTAGATAATAATAGAACGAGAATTGACGTAGACATTTGCGTGCCTCCAGGAATAAATCAGAATATTTTCGTTGCTAACAACCATTATCGTTCAACTCCGAAGTTGAAAAATGCTTTGACATTGACCTTCTTAATATCTGACTCACTCCACCCAAAGGTTTATGAATACATAATACTTTTATATATTCAGAGCTTTAGGGTTTTTTCAATTCTCTCACCCATTTGCAGTTCCGTAGAGTAATTTTCGCAGCTTTATCCCCGTCCATTGCATGAATTCTCCTCCTCATTTAACCCTTGACCTTTTTATTTAGCGATATATAAAATTGTCACGTGTTCCCTTCAAATAAGTTCACTTGAGAATGGAGTGATATCTTATTCAATTTTACTATGGAATTTCCCCGCATATAATATAAAGATGTCTCATTTCTAATAAGATTTTTTTTGTTATTTTTATTTTTTGATACCTCACAAATATTCTTTACAAGTTTCAATGAATTTATACAAATTACTATTCTTTAATATATATTCCTTCGATTTGCACAGTTCTTGATTTTGTAACGTTTGTTTCGCTGAAATGTTAAAAGCAATTTAACAAAGTAGTCCTTACTCTTGGTTTCAAATGAAAACTTAAGATAGATCTGCTAACAATGAGAAAAGAACTGTAAAACTCATAGCAATACTTCTTTTTACATCACATGCATGTTCTTAACAAATCATTAATATTAATAGACATAATGAAGATTCTTTAAACAAAATTTCGTCAATTTAGGTGAGTACAGATACTAGACCAAAACTTTATTTTACTTGAGTAGTCTTTTGGAAGAATAGTTACGGGATTGGTAGCAATACCCTATTTTTATTGATTGATTTTTTCGCTGTTGCATTTTATACATATATTAGCATAAAATAAAGTTGATTCCCGCTGTCTGTATGCTAAGATCTTTTAAGCTACATGACGGTTTTAATGCAGTAATCATTAATATACAGGGTGATGCAAGAGGAAGGTTTATGTGTATAATACAGCACCAAGCGGGAGAGGTCGCTGCCGGAAATCTAGTTTAGGAAATAAACAAGAACTTGTTTAAGTAGCTCTAAATATAATTCCTCACAACATCAACAGTAATAAAAAAAAAAATCCTTAAAAAATAAGTTAATCCTCGTTCAATTGATTTAGCATAGCTTAAGGAGTTAATTCAAAGGAGGTTTTACTCAGTTGAGGACTTCATTGAGTATAAATGAAATTTCAATATATTTTAGGCCCTACTAAATATAAGCAGTTACTAAGTTACTGTGACTATTTGCAATAAAATATACGATATGAGTAACTAAATATACATAAGCTCACAAAATTGTGACATATTACAATCCTATTTTGAGCAAAGAAATGGTTGGACTTAAATCACTCGAAAAATCGTTGTACTAAATACCTACTGAACACCGAAGAAGATTTTTAGTATTCCGTACCAAAAGGGTAAAACGGGAACCCTATTACTAAGCCTTCGCTGTCTGTCTGTCACCAGACTGTAACTAAAAAAGCAGAATAAATTGAATATTTAAAACTGAATTACGTCCACGCTCCACAAATGTGATTTTTTACTCGTTTTCGGTACTTCGTGCGCGAGTCCGACTCGCACCTGGCCGGATTTTATACCATCTTTTCTGATTTTTACTAGGCAACCACAGTGTCTATCTCTATTTTTGCTTGTTAATCTCTCAACGTCATTTAAAGTTAGTATTCTCAAGACCGCTGCCAAATTAGACATATTTTACGCTCGGTCTTCTTAGTCTACCTCACAAGGGATCAGGGGTGAAAATATAGATGAATCATACACATCATACAAAAAGAAACAGAGAAACGTCTATCGTTTCACTAATTTTAAGTTCCTACCTTCTCATAGATGAAATGAATGGTAATTGTATTCTAAAACAAAAAATGATCAGTATAATTAATATTACAGTGTTCAAGCAGCAACTTTCGCATTGGCCGTTCAAAAGAAGGGAACCAAAAATTTACTATCTCGAACTCCTCTGTGCTTCGGATGGTAGCCGAAGCACAGAGGAGTACAGCACAGAGAAGGTTCGAAGCCGTTGCTTCCGGCTGCATCTGCAGTCGTTAAAACCCACCAATCCGCACTGGGCTCGCAAAGTGGATCATGGCCCATTCTCCCTAATCGATTCGATTTCATAAGTTAGGCCTTAGTCCCAGCAGTGAACACACTAATAGACAGGTGATGAAGATGACAAATCTTTTGTTCCAGAGCGGGTGAGGGCGTGACCGTGGCGGCGACATGAGCACGGCGGCGCTGCGGGCGGACGCTGCGGGCGACTCGACGCCCGGCTCCGACGTCGGCGAGCGCATCACTCGCCTCTTCCCCAAGTGCCGCCCTAAGAACATGCAGCACCAACACGAAAGGTTAGAAGCCGCTAAAGCCTACAGTAAGTCTAGATCTTATAAAGGATCTAGATGTATCATATGTCATTCCAGTCGTTTTGTTTTCAAGCGATTCTCATTGGAAATCAAAGGTTTAGTATAATGGTAAGCATTAATTATAGAAAACTCAATAACACGATCAACACGACACCGTCACTTGTCTTCAAATGACATTTAAAGGTTTACTCCAGTGTAGAAGGTAAATATACACTAATGAAATTGTTGAAAACTGTATTGCAGAATATATAATATCAGCATTACCCTCACAGACTTACGACTTTTTTAATATAATAATGGAATTTATATTACTCTACTAGTTTCTGTTTAGTGTACGAGGTTGGTAGAATGTGAACTCGGTCTGCTTAGCTTCAAATATACCTTAGCACTGATTCGGTCCAACCGCTCAAGCTTTTTCTCATTGTATTATTGTACATTAAACTTTAGCTAAAACTAATGCTTCACTGAAAAAATACAAACTCCAGAACTTGTATAATGTCCGCGAGATCTAGCAATTTGTTATCCTGCCCCTAATCAACCGACTCTCGGGAAAATTTCCTCAAAAATTTCGCGCGTAATGATCCCTGGGTTCTTCATTAATATTGTGGACACAGATCCAGTACACAATTAATTATACAGCCAACAAAGTTGGTGTCAACTTCTTTAATGTGATCTTGTAAAATACAAAATTATGTCCAATGATCCGCTGTCCCAAACCAAGAACAAATCGACGAACTTTGACAAGTTCAAGATGAAAACAAAAGAATATAAAAAAGTAATATTGAAGCGGCCCTCGGATTCACAATTCACAATCTGGCAAAACATTCTAGCGATTTGTGGATATTTCGTAGCCATTTATAATATTGTTTGTATTTTACAGTTCTGCCTTTTGACTGCACTGGTAGCTAGTAAGTTTGATTTTGGAATTGTAATAGAAATAATGCAACCATTTTATTGATTTTAGTTACCCCTGTTTCTAGAGCAAAGCGCAAAAGCACAATGTGTTTTGTGGTGAAATTCAAGTAACCAAACTTTTTCGCATTCTTCTTTTGGATAGGATTTCAGTATTGGCTCTTCGTTTGCATTTTATTTGCTGTCCTATTTGTTTTGAGAACGTTCACGATACAGTTAAGCGCATTTCATGTTTATGAAAATAATTATATAAAAAAAAATGAAAGTATGTTTGTCTATATTATTTAAAATTAAATTGTAGATTTATCCAATCAGATGGACTGCAGTATTCACTATTATTTAAGGTTTTCTTTACAATATTTATACATTCGTATCTATTATTAATGGGTTGATGCTTTCCATTGTATTCTTTCATTTATTCTATTTGAGATACACGTGATTGTAATTTATTACATAAGTATTACCAAAATACTTATGCCCAAACTATTACCACAAATAACATTGTTCTCATTTGAAATAATTTAATACTTTTCTTATTTCCTCACTAGACATAGCAATATTGAAACTATGACTAAGTTATGTCCCAAGTGATCCACCCTTAACCTTTGGTTCCCTTTACAGACTAAACTCCGGGCTGGAGGGGCGGGAGAACGATGTCAACAACTCCTCCGACGAGGGGGGGGAGGGCCAGCTAGTCATTCTAAACTCTAAAGGCGGTACTTACAAACTGAGGGACTCTAGGTAAGAACACCTCATAATTTACGTAAACTGTCTCGGCTAACGTATACGGATGAGCTCATTACAGATTCATTTTGATGTTAAAAAAAGTATTCATTCAAGTACGCCATTGAGATTAATGCATTCAAGTTACTTTATGCACTGTTCGAAGCCGCAAGTATCTATCTTAAAAATTCTTTTGAATTAACATAGACAATCTGACAGGCATAGTAAGCAAGCATCATCGAGTCATAGAATGAGAATCCGCTTGTGTTTAGATTATTTCATTTTAGATATCATAAGTTTTCTATATTTATTACCAGGATAATAGAAATAGCGGGAGGCCGCGAGATATACTCGCAGAGTCGCACTAAGGCCGTGCGCAAACTGCGGCATAACAACACGCACAAACACAACATGAGGAATAAAGTGCGGTCTCTTAACAAAGACACCGTAGACTATGCCACAGAGAACATCCCAAATGAGGTAAATATATGTATCTAGTGTGATAGGTAAATTACTTTGATACATTAACATCAAGATTAAATAAACATTACTACCCAGTTTATTTGGTCCTTAAATTTATGTATGTAAACACAAACTTGCAGAAACAGTTTAAGGCGTCTCACGTATTTGGTATTTTTTGATGAATCTTATCTATACTGTATGCGAAATTAAATAAAGTTGTTTTTGTCTTTTAAACTCATTCGTATTGTCCTGGGTCCTTTTATGTAAGTACTTTGACTTACAATCCTTTTTTTTTACAGATATCACTACATAGACTAAACAGCGAACCCAAGAAAATGGTATCTCGCCACACATCACCAACTTATACGAACGGAGAAAGGGATCAAGTAATCGAACCAAACACCATGGGGATACCTAAAAACAGCTCACCCATATTGGATCCCCATAAAACCAATGATGTCAGCTCTAAAAGTAGTCCCATAGCGGTTGTTGCTGACGGGGAAGTAGTAGTCTTTGACGACAACGATGATTGGAAAGGTGATTTCACTCTCGTATTTTGCTTCGGTAAAATATTAGAAGGCCTTTATTGCTCAGCCATACTCAACGAAAAGCACGAGGCATAAAAAAGGAAAACAATTTATGGAGATGGTTTGATAATGTAAATATTAAATGTTAAAAACAAAAATTTCATAATGTTTAGTTTGTTATTTTACGTTCGTAATATGTTTGAACGTTAATTACTGGTGAACAGAAGAATAACAAGGAGTTTTTTTCTGTTAGTTTTGCCTTAAAAAATAACACGAAGGTTCGCGTTCAGCGCATTACATCATCATAACCAAAATTTCTCCAATTAATTTCGGAGCTAAATATTTAAGTTCGAAATCAATTGTGAATATTTGTAGTAAATGCATGTGCTTCTGTTTGTTAAAAAAATATTTATGCTGAGGCCGTTTCAACTCATATGAAAATCTATTATATGATATGTGGGTCGTGAATTTGAGGTTGAGTATGGCTCTGTTAAGCAGCTGTTTTTGTGTTTATGTTGTACAATGTAATTAGGTAGATCACAAGAGTAAATTTTGTACTGCAACAAATTCAAATACAACAGCTGAAAATGAGCTTCAGAAGTTAAATTGTATAGACACGGGAAATTCATCCTTGCCTCTGATAACAATAACGATCCGTATTTTTTAGTTTTCAACCTCGTTAACTTCGCTTTTTACCTTTGCTTTGTCCATTCTCATCTATTTAACACTTCGTTTGATGCAGTTTTTAACAGTGTGCCATTGTTGTTTTATTTCGTTTCTTAATTGGACTCAATTGGAATTTGCACTAGAATAAAACATTTTAAACATGAATATTTTTTAAGTCATAGTATGAACATTAAACAATGGTGGCATTCTGATTATTATTTCTTTCAACCTTTTTCTATCCTATCCAAATTAACCATTGTTATTCACAAAATCTTGTTTTCTCTTTCTTTTATTTTCAGTGATATTGAATTCTGTGTCTCTAGGTTTGAGGACGGAACCGGAAGTTAGTGACGATGAGATAGATATGAGTGTTAAAAGAACTTTAGACAATATTAAAAATGGTGATAGTGATATTTTGAACAATAAGAGTGAACTTAGTTGTGATGGAGAAAGTGAGTCGTCTCCATCTAGGGAAGATGTGAGGTTAAGTGATGCTAGCCCCTCGGGGGTGTGGTTATCTGGTGATGAAGATAAAAGCAGGGTGACTAGAGTAATAGGGGAACTGCCTATAGCTGAATATGAAGGTTCGCCGCGGAGATACGGCATTGTCTCTCAAAAGACGTGTAACAGATCGCCTCGACCTGGATTTCCACAGGTAAAGAAATTGGTATTTACATAGCTTTATGCTTCTTTAATGTTGTAGCTTTCGTAATGGTGTTGTTATACAATCAACAGCTCATCAAATTTTACACAATTGAAAGATGACCTCCCAAAATTTATGGATTCTGGGTCCCGGTACTACATATCCCAATTTCTCTGAAAGACGTATCTTAGTTTTTACAAGCAAAAATAAAAATTACAACATATTAAAAAATATGATTAAGGAATCACACGGAACTCGATCTAAATTATAATGACAGTTTGTTATTTTTAAAGTAGGTTACCATCTTTGAGGTTTTATTCAGTGCGAAAAATATTGGAAAATTGTCCCCTATTTTTTGATCTAGCTCATATTGGAACATTTCTTTTAATATTGTGCATTTACCTGAAACAAATTCTAGTTGTTTTGCTGAGTTGTTAACTGTGCTCTTCCAATTGAAATACCATACTTCTTAAAGAATGAGTTTCTTTATTTTAAAGGGTTTCAAGGTCATCAATGTTTTCGTACTTTATTTTCAGCGAGTGGTTACGGAAAGTAGAGATGTCTCGCCTCCCTCAGGATCGGCGGCATTCGATTATTTATATGAGTTCTCGGAGACGAGGAAGGTGCTGGAGGAGTTCTTCAGGTGTCCCGCCATATCTGGTCACGCACAACTCAACGTCAACGATGAAATCGTTAATTTCCAGGTTAGTTAATCGGTTATGTTGTGTTTCTCATAATTTAGAGGTTCTAGGTACATTATATTCCATAGCTATATCATCTATATCTGCATCTAATACCTCTTGGTGACTTATGTGAAACTCATTTTAACGTTACTTGACTTTAAACCCCGTGAACATAAATGAGAGAATAATTAATAAACGTTGAGAATAAAAAAACTTATCTAGTGACCATGCCTTGTGGTACTCGGTCTAGCCCGTAAAATAGGGATCGATAGACATTAAAATAATTAAATAACTTTTAAACAATATGACATACGTTGCTTAGATTCCAAGATCAATAGTTAAAGCCCTCGTATAATTACAAAAATGACGACAATTTTTTGTTATTGAAGTATATTAAATACGTTTTTTTTGCGTAATCAATTAATTGCGGCGTTACATTGAGTTGAGATGTCGCATGACGTCACGCTTTTCACATTTTTCTACAAATCTGTGACGTAGCGAGTCCCTACTCTTTAATACTTATTATGTAGACCATGTCTTGTTGCAATTAAAGCAAAAAAATACTTGTCTAATATTTTTCTATTATCTGTTTGACGGACTAAATTTTTTTTTAAACAGTCGTCATCTTTATTATAAAATAAACGAATATTAGACATCATCACACACATTGCTCAGATTCCAAGATGAATAGCACTCATATTATAGAGTGTCTGAGAGAATGGAGGTACTACAACACGCAGACCCGAGACAATATAGAAATACACATTTTCTACATTGACATGACGATATTGACCCAGGATCTCATTGTTTTTAACATTTACAGGATTTGGACTATGAGTTGAGGAGACAAACGCAAGACTGTCCGTCTGAGAACGGCCTAGAGGCCGGCAGCGAGTCTGACTGGCCTCACGTCACAGACACACTAGACTCCCCACACACAGCTCATAATCACACCAACTTCTTGGGGCTTCAGGTAAACTTACACATATTGATTTCTTGTATTTTCATGCGCGCTATCCATAAATTAAACCACTTTTAAACGGTTTCATTGCATTTGTTGCGGACCCTTTACGGGTTCCGTGTTCACATAAGACTAAGGTGTTGCTATTTTAATTAAGAGTATACCCACATTTGCCCGTACCTTTAAGGGTCCGAAACGTTAATAAAACTAAATACAAACGCGATAAAACCATTTAAAGTTGTGTCATTTATAAACTTAATCATGTAAAATATTTTCAATAGGCAGAATTTATGTATACTAAGATTTTTTTCTGTTGTTGCAAAAACTCTAAATTTAGGTATTTAGTTACGATTTACAAAGCATTACTTAGGTACACCTAAATGATTTTATTAAATATAAGCGCAGGAAAACAACCTTCTGATTTTATTTAACATAATTGCATGATAATACTGTTTACCTTGAGTTGAAGAGACAAAAACTATAATGCTAATTATGCTATACCACTCCCTGAATTGAAAAAAAAAATTTTAATATTTGCCAATTGGGGTGCCGGTGAATAATGAATTTGGAAGCAAACAACACTTTCTGGGGAAAATGTTCGCGTGCGGGAGCTACAGTTTATTTTTAACAAAACCAGAAGGCAATCTTAGATTATATGGCAAAAATATGGCTGTACTATCAGAATTGATTCCGCACGCGAGTTTGTTCTTTTATTCAGTTTTCAAACACAAAGGTACAAAAAGGTTATTATAAAAGGTTGTCAACAATATTGGTTTCAATATTATCTATGTTTTAATAATACTTTTTCATGTTATAAAATGAATATACATCTGTAATCCTCCTAGTTATAAATTATGAATAGTATAAAACTTACTTAAACTTAGAAGCTACCTATATAGAAACGTATGTCAGCGAGATTGTAATGAGTTTGGTCCATGACATATTGCAATGTTATCTACTTGATTTACTTACTTGATTTAGTGAAAAGAAATTGTAAATTATGTTGAAAACGAGTAAATATGCAAAAATGGTTATTGATATGGACCTTTAATTTAAGAAAAAGACCCATCTGGAAGTTAATATTCCAAATCGATATGAAAAACACAACTCCCAGTTGAATCTGTTCCTATGAGCGCCTATCTTCTGAAAAAATACATCAAAGTATTATCATATCTAACCGTAAAACATCTTCGTAGTCTTCATAGTAACGTACAACCAGAACTTAAGTTTATGACATTAAAATTTTTTATCTTCGTATAGCAACAGCGACCTCTAGCGCGATACGCCGAGCCGAATGTATCGGAGCTAAGTGTGGGCGCAGCATGGAGCGGGTCCGCGTCTCCCGCCGCCCCCGCCAGGAGGGACAGAGACAGAGTACCGTTCGCCCTCTCATCCGACACCAGCGACACTGGCAGCGACCTCTCCCTCATGATCATGGAAAACGAGCTGCAGGAGATGAAAGGTACGAGTATATGCTATAATATTATCTATTACTTATTCCGGCTCGAAGGACCATCAGATATTTACTTACTTGTTGATAATTGATATGAATAAAACTAAATAGTAAAAATATATTGTCCAAAACACTGATTAATTAATAATATGATAGAAGTCCATATCTTGTGTCTTGTCAAGTTATACCAGCAGTATAATGGTATTCGTACTTTTATTCTTAGTATCTTGAAGGATCTTATTCAACTTATGCAGTCCATTAAGTGTAGAATATTAAAAACAATGTCGAATCGTTGATGTTCAAAAAGAAAGACAAAGAGTTTCATGTTTCTCTCGGCACAGAAATTTATTATTCCCTATCAAAGTCATTACAGATTGTCGAACTACATATTCAATAAGAAAAGCAATTCTTTCGGTCTTATAATAACAGTGATTCCAGGACGCAGAGGTAATTTCCTTCCATTTACTACTAGTCCGATATATACGTACCTCTCCTGATTCCTCTACACTCAACTAACTTATCTTAAACAATCGCCGGTTTAAAATACTCTTGACCCGATCCTTTTTTCATCACGTCCGTGATCCGATCATGTTAGGATCATCTCTAGTTCTTCCTCTTTCAGTACCTCCAAACCCAAATTCGAATTGACTTCAAAAAGCGGCATCCGCTCAACCTTGAATTAGTAATAACGCCTCGTGGCATAAGTGAAGTGAGTTCACTTATGCTACGATATAGTGAAGTGAGTTTTGTATTTTTGTACAAAAACATTCGGACACATGAGCCAATTCGTATTCGGGTCTGGATTTTTACAGAATCGCAGAGCTGTTTACAAAAATATTATTCTAATATAAACTTTATACTATCGATTTATTGTTAAATTTTCTATTCACAGCTAACTCTATACAAATGGACACCCGCGTGGTGGTGACACATTTGCCAGTAGTGGAGGACGGTCTATCGTCTGGACACGCGTCAGATACAGACAATAATAACCAGGTTAATAACACATTAGTATACTGGCTATTCTGCGACTTCGCGCGGGTAAATCATAGCATATTTCACCAGCGTATGATGTAACTTTTCTTAGGTGAAAGAATAGTGCATTCCTTCAAAGGAGATTTTTTATCGTGATGCCGTGAACAAGATTTTGTACAGTGGCAAACAGCATTAGACAATGTAAATGTGACGTCATGAATGATATAAGTCCCTTGAGTCACTATAGATGCGTTATATTTAATTTTAAATAATTATGCATAAAGGTTTGAGAGTATTCGTTAAAAAAAATCGTTTTTGTCGTTCTATTTCGTGCCGTTATCTGTCTCGATTTCTTTTATATTTTTTTCGCGTCCCATCTCGTTCAACCTTTGCTTATATGTCAGGCATAAAATTAACGTCAAGTATTGATCCTTTGTTTTTAACATGCAAATTCCTATGACAATATATGGGTGACGACATACAGAAACCGACTGCTATGACAAATTTTAATAGTGTAACTAAAGGTCGCGATCAATAAGCAACTTAAATTTCATACACAGACGTGTTTTCTCCATTACGAGGTGCACAGTAAAATTTTGAAAACTGCTAATTTATTTTTACAATGGTGTTAAAAAGACTCGACGTAATAATAAAGTGAATGTCACAAAAAATAACTCAGGATTATTAATATATTACTAATTATTAATAATGACAGAGCTTGTTCTTTTAAAATCGTCATTCATCATTGTAACAAATAAAAAAACTTATGGTATCTTCAAATGTTTTTCTTGCTCACAAAACAGGTGTTCCGTCAAAGATCAGTGTCGTTTATAATAAAGTGTAAAATGTTTATATAAAAATAAAGTAAATCAAATATATAAAAATAAAGTTTCAAAACAGACAAATTCAGTTCAGCTGCCTGTCCTCAACATTACTAGTTTCTCATTCTATTTTTCATTGTTTACTCAAAATTTATTATGATAATAACTTTGTGACCTTTGAAGGTGAAGGTACCAGACCTAAGCCTTACATGTGACTTTCTGCACATTAATTTCTTACTTTACAGCTAATGTAATGGCAAGGTTATTTATCTAACAGTTAAACAAATAAAAATAGAGTTCATTTTGAAGACTAAACATTTAAAATATTTGAGAAATGTTAATGATTTTTTGCAGAATCATACGGTGATAATAGAAGAGATCATAGAAAATGGAACGAGTGGTGAGACTCATGCGCCACTCTCGGATGCGGACCTGCATACACTAGATCCTTTAGGTAAGAACATTTTTAATTAAATTACTTACGGTTAGTCGTAGAAGGTAAACGTATTAAAAAGAAATTAAATTGTTTTTTTTTATTCGATAAAAAAACTTTTATTTTAATCAATCAATATTTTTAATTTAAGTAAAACTCTTATTTTGGGTTTTCAAACATATTTTTTTAAGACAGAGAAAAAGGCAGACGAAATGAGTTTTCTTTACATCTAGCTAGTTAAAGATTTCTGACGATTCGATGCGTGTGCGGATGTTCATATGTTTGCATACAAACAATTACCTGTCCTCGGTCGAAAATTTAGAAAATTTCGAATCATTCTTATCATTTTGTGAAGATCGTATCGTGGAGAATATATGTGCACCAGAAGCAGTGCCTCCGTTCGCATGATAAATTATCGAAACATGAGTTCCTTTGAAGTCCTCTTAGCATTTCGAAAATAGAAATATCCTGAAACGTTGTACCGTGCCAGTTGGCTACTGGATAGGAGGACCCGGCGGCCATTTCTGGAGGGTTTGGGTGTTCCTGCGACCTCCAGATGAGTTCTCAGTTGGTTGCTAGAGCTCGGGGTCATTCAAGCTAAGTGAACGGAATCTGGATTTTTTTCTGCTCCGCATCACACTCTGCCCAAACATATGTTTTTTCTGGGCATGGTCCCACCGTAGATCTCATTTATGTCTTTGGGGTAGAATGATAAATAAAATAAAAAAGAAATTCCGTTTTCGGAGAAATAGAATAGAATTTTAGGTGTCATGTTGATTCGTACGTGTAGGAGCCGGTGTTTTTACTGTATGAAAGCGCCCTAAAGATGTGTACGTGTGTGCAGTGTGCAGTGAAGTGCCGCCGCCTCCGCCGGCGCCGGCGCCGCACCGGCCCGCGGACGCCGCGCACGTCATGCACGCGCACGCGCCGCACGCGCCGCACGCACCGCACGCGCCGCACACGCCGCATCACCACCACGCGCCGCACCACGACGACGTCTACCCGCCCAGGTCAGTCCCTAGACCCTACTCAAAATGAACCTCCGATTTATAACGTATGCGATTTTAAAATAGAAGAAAACCAGTTCCTTTGTCAGAAGAAGTACTGAGTCGTAGTTGGTACTCCAATGTTTTCAAATACCTCATACGAGATTTGATTTTCGATTTTTAAATGTCAAAATTATGTGTTAATTTATGAACAACGAGAAAAGACTCGTAAGATCATGTCGCTGTGCAAATGTTGACAATATTAAATACTCGATACTTTTCATTAAAATCGACGTCTTTTTTTTTACAGAAAAAGGCCATCTTCCGCTCAAAGTACTGAATCAGTGGAAATCAAACCTGCTAGTGGCGATGAAGGTAATATATAATTATGTTTTGTTCTCCATATATTTAAATAAATTTTTGACTACATTGATAATTGGTAAAAGTTTCACTCCCGGTTTTTGAATTGGGTATTTAAAGTTAAGCACGTCTCAAATTGTACTTAAACAGGTTTTTTGAGTTTAATTTTTTTAACGATCAGTTCATACTTAGCAGCTTGATAAAAACTGACTATCTGCCTTGTGAAACGTAAAAAACGAAGAATCAATTGAGGTTTTGTACTTTTGTCAATTCAGAAACCGGCCGTCAGTATCAACAGTTTGTCAACCTTTTTTAATTTCTATTAAAAAAAGCTTAATACTGAAAATAACATAGTATGTATATATGTGACTTGGGAAATATATTTTTAATTTTTTTTTTTGTTTAGATGAAGCGGACACAGACCTAGAGACTGATAGATTACTGGGCCAGCAAAGGACCGACGACCAAGGCTTTTTCGACGATAAGGTAAAATATATAATAGATAATCAAATTATTTTAATGAATGAAAACTGTTAATTTCGTAACTGATGATAGTATTTATATTTAATATTAATGATTGAAGATTATTGACATATCATGCTATGACGTCCAAACGTATTTAGATACTGCACTTCAATGTCGCTATCAATTTAGGGCGAATAAATGAAATTAAAAAAAAATGAGAAAGCGTATGCTTGATATATTCTGGGGAAAAGTTTATTTCTTTTGTGTGTTTAATATATTGGGCATTTTAAATTATTTTATTTCTATAATCATATCATGAACAGTACTCGTATTTTTAAGCATACGTTTATTTTAATATAAATTTAGTAATAAACATCAATTGTAAAAAAGCAAGATTTTATTTAATATAGATCATTAACTTAGTGAAAAGTTGCTTCATTTAATTAGAAATCGCAGAAATGGTGTGTTAGTAGCAGATATTGTCGGTTTGAGTCACCGGATCATGATGCAATCGTCAGCTGCGCGCGCGCACAATAAACTAAGTAGTAGCTGTTGAGTCTACACATGCGTCGCGACCTTGCTCTCCTAATACGATTGACCAAAGATTATGTAAGCGAGAGACTCTTAAGTATATTTTTTACATTATGCCTATAATGCGTGGGTTTTGATTGAGTTTAGTGTATGGTGTAACCTATGTATTAAAATTATATTTATGTTAATCGTAATTTAAACATTCTTTTGATTGTGTATTAAAAAAAAAGTAACGGCTATTTTTAATAAATTTTGGAAATATCCACTTACTAAACAATATAAAAATATGCTATTTTATTTAAAATAAAACGTGTCACTCAAATGATGTTTCCGTTTCTCGCGAAAATAAAAACTTATATACAACTTTCCCGTCTGTATTTGTATTTTGTTTACTCTATGACATTCAAGTTGTTTACATTATATCAGACGTCGATGTGGCTCGCTAACGCCAGTAGTACTTGTGCTCGCCTAACTAACTATTGTGTTATTGACCTTATCTATGCCGTTTGGGAAACGACAGGCATTGATAAGAAATCGCCTCGCTCGATAATAATATAATGTTGATTATTAGTTAAAGTATTACTTACAAAATGTGTGAAGAAGAACGGGAACCATGTTTAGTCGAAAGTGAGAGTAAAGACAATGAAATAAAAGTGAATAGTGTTGAGCAAAATGTTGAAGAAATTTGTGTCGATTCTAGTGATGAAGGGAAAGTTGAGTGTGTCGATTCTGTTTGTAAAACTTTAGATGACGACTCGTTGAATGATGAGCAGAAAAATGAGCATGTGACAAGGAAAAAGGTTCGTTATGAATGTTCATATATATGGAAATATAGAAAATAGTAATAATATGTAAAATTAACGAACAAATGATGAATTCGATAGTTAAAAAAGTTTTTTTTTTTGATGATTGTTACATTGTGGTAATCAGATCAGTGTATATTACAGGTCGTATATAGGGAAAGTTTATGAAACTATAATTAAGCAGCTGGCATGCAGATTTGATGGCATCACCATCATTGAGGTTCTAAGTTTGATTGCAAGTCAATATAGAAAACTAACTTATAATTAGATTTCTTCAGTTTTTAGGAAGAGTGATATTTCATATGCAAGAGTTGTGTCCAAGCATAGACTGAAAAATCGTGTTAACATTATAAAGGAGAGTTTGATTATAAAAAGTTTGAAAGATAAACAGATAAAAATTACGGTCAAAGCGTATTCAAAAAGTTTAGAAATTTATCCCCTAAAGGTTGAAAGTGTTTTAAGAAATCCGTCGTATAATAGTTAGACGTATGAAATTTTATTTTTGGTTTGCTGATAATTAACATTAATGAATCTGTTTAAGATTATGTTTAAATTTTACCTAAAGGAATAAAGTTGGGGAGTTTTTATAAAAGTCCGCCATTTTTGAAGTTTATTTTTGAGAGACCTAATTAAAAATCAGCAAATCAAAAACTTACTACTAAAAATGTTGAATGGGGGTTAAAAAAATTATGGAACATAATCATTCATCCACGGGTTTGTGTATTTACGTGAATGAAATGGTGTAGTTAAAACCTAGTAGGTATCTAGAGAATACTTAAAAAAAAAAACAAGTTATGCACTCGAGTGTATATATACATATATTAGGTCCTTACATATGAAATTGGTGTTTGGTATGGGAGGAACAAAAAGTCGAATATTTTTTAGTATAATATATTTATTTAATAAAAGTATAAACCATTGTTATCTATGCACTTTTCCCATATCATAGGTAGTTCATTGATCCCAAACCATTAGGACGGGAATCAATAAAATCTTTGAAGGCGATTTGCACTGCCCCATCAGAGTTGAAATTTTTCCCTTGCAAGAAGTTATCCAAGTTTCAAAAAAAATGGTAATCTGTTGGACCAAGGTCCGGGGAGTATGGTGGATGTCTTCGACATTTCAATTGAAGCTCTTCTAATTTGGTAACCGTCTGTTGTGCAGTGTGTGGTCTAGCGTTGTAGTGAATTAGCAGTGGGGTAGAGCGATTGACCAGCCTCGGTTGTTTAACAGTTGTTTTCCAGCATGATTTGCAATTGCTGACAATAGACGTCTGCCGTAATCGTCTGGCTAGATTTGAGAAAACTGTAATGAACGACACCGGCACTAGTCTACCAAACGCTTACAAGTAACTTTTTTTGGGATCAATTTTCGCTTGGGGCAGGAATTTACTGGCATGCCAGGGTCCAACCATTGCGATGAGCGCTTCCGATTATCGTAGATAATCCACTTTTCATCGCAGGTAATGATTTGATTTAAAAACCCTTCATTATTGTGCCGGTTAATTAATGTAATCAGTCGAAGCGCGTTTGCCGGTTTGCTTCTCTCAATTCGTGAGGTACCCACCTTTCAAGCTTATTATAAAATAGTTTTATCACTAACACCGCAGCCTGCAGCTAACTCGGACGTGGTTTGCGATGGATACGCTTCAACAATAGTCTTCAATTCTTCATTTGTTCTGCAGGTCGAAATTTCCAGAACGAAAATGTTTCCGTTTCCGCAGCACTGGTACCATGGTGGAACTCGTAAATAACACGATATTTCAAGTTTTCCATTTTTTATACTGGGTGACGTAAATAGGACAAACAGAAGAAAAAAAAAACAAATGAATGCCGCCCAACGAAACACAAATACATGTGTAAATGGCTGTATAAATTTGAATTTGGAATTCCCAACCAAGGAGGAGATATTTGTGATTAAAGTGGCCAGTACGATAAAATGCCAATGTCATATATAAGGACCGAATATATATTCACACGTATTCGGAACATACGACTTCAGCGGCACATTTCGAATGCGTCTTTCCTCTGTATCTGATAATTAATAACATCACCGGCCTATTAATGCCTTCCGAAGCACGGAGGGACTCGAGACAATAAATTTCTATTCATCCATCCAACGACCGGCCATTGTGAAATTTGTTTAACGACCGTGTCGCAGACCGAGCATTCGACATTAACATGTGCGCCTGATGTATATATAACAGGAGCCTAATAGGGTTGGCGCAAGCCGTACATTGACGTGGGCTTGTGTTTGCTAGGGCTGGCGCAAGCCGAAGTCCCGCACGGTGATGCCGGCGGGCAGCGGGTCGGGCGCCGCGCGCTCGCCGCCGCACGCGCACGACGCCGCCGCGCCCGCGGACGAGGACGCCCACCACAACGGGAAGGTAACACCGCACGGCTTTTGACCGACGGGACGGATAGGGCGAAAATCATAATAATATAATAATGAAGTTTAAAATGAATGCGCTGTTGGGTGTAAACGTAATATCAACATTTCTCCCTGCCCTGCGATTCTGTAACAATCCAGACCCGATTTCGAATTCACTCATGTGTCCGAATTCTCGTCATTTAGTATAGAAATCATATTGATTCCATTTTTTTATAAAAATACTAAACAAAATTGATTGATTAAACGTGTCTTAGATGTTTTAATCCTATATCATTTCGAAACTCACTTCACTTATTTCACGAAACATTCAAGTTTGAGCGGATGCCGCTTTTTGAAGTGAATTCGGACACCCGAGTGGATTCGAAATCGGGTTTGAAGTTTTACAGAATCGCAGGGCTGGTTGGAAAAAGTTTTCGATCCCGGCCTCCGATGAGGTTAGTCCGCCACTGGAGCTGACCTCAACATTTAACAAGAAGCGACTGTGTGACTATTAATATATATCTTACGTGGTTTCTTGTAATACCTTTTATTTAAATATTTAATGAACGATTTTGGTTTATGTAGTCATCTCAGTTCTTTGAGTGTGACTAAATATAAAATTTAGACAAACAGCTATTTCTTGAATTGAAATAAACCAAAATGTAAATTGATAAAACTATATGGTTCTAATCTTTTGTAACCTATATATATCCTGCGACCAGGAGGTTACTGTCGTGCAAAGGTAACACGACCAAATATTACCCAATGATAGATAGGCTATCAATCATGAGATATCAACAAACCACGCTAATCTCTGGAACTACTGGTTCGAATTGAAAGATTATATTTTAACTGTACTTCCTGAATTATCCTTTTTAATAACCCTTATTTTTTTTCATTTTTAGGATAAGGATGCAAAGAAGAAAAGTAAAAACAAAGAAGGTGAGTATACAATATTAACACCAATATAATATAAATAGTATACCCGAATTACAATATTCATTTTTGTGCTATGACTCATTGCATTGTGCATCGTCCAGCAGCATCAGTATATCCCCACTATTGGGGCTCAGGTCCTTCTCTATAGATGGAATCGATTAGGGAGAATGGGTCATGACCCATTACGCGGGCCTAGTGTGGATCGGTGAATGTTAGTGAGCAGCCGCGATCAACGGCTTGACGTGCCTTCCGAAGCAAGAAGGAGCTCGAGATAATAAATTTTTGGTCACCCATCCTACGACTGGCCGTCGCGAGGGTTGCTTATTCATCGTACCGCAAACCGAGCGCACTAACCATTATGCAATCGAGCTTATAAGATATACCTATTGATTGTACAATCGTTAGAAATATTATATCACCATCAGCCTATTACCTAATGTTCATACTATTGGGGCTCAAACCTTCTCTTTGGATTAAATTAGATATTGAGGCATGACATAACTAGAGGGCTCTGAGGATCAAACGGAGGAACTCTAGATAATAATTATGGTCACCAACCGTATAACTGACCTGAGGTAAATGGCTATGCGTTAGCATTAATTATTGTAAGATCATCGAACTCCTTATGTGGAGAAAATTTTAGTCAACTTGTAAAGTTATTCATATATTTTGTGCTGCCTTTGGACTCGTGTCCTGTTGGTAAGTTAAAGTATTGTTTTTAAAATAGGTATATCTTAAGTTATTTACTTGATAATTATATAAAAATATATGTAATTATATAAATATATCGCTAAGACAATAGCTAATTATCCGAATACATTTAAGCCACATTATTATATCATATTCTGAAACTATTCTAGAATACCCAAGCATATTGATAGAGTATAAAAATATTATTACGAAAAAGTGAGCACTCTTTTTGTTCTTATCAGAACGTCGCCGTACGCCACACATAACATCTATCTATCAATATGTCACGCCTTTTCCCCGCGGGGTGCAGCCAGACACAATCTTTCTTTTTATTCAAAGAACGCCGGTTTTAGGATACTCTTTATCTGGCCTTTATATGATATGTTCGCAATTTGGTCGTATACATAACATAAACTTTGTTAATATCGATCTTCCGATATATCGGAAGATCCTTAAACTATCTCACGAAAGTAGTTACGCGTTATCATATCATATATATTTGTATGTAGGGCGATTCTTTAAAAATCCGAACCCGAATATGGATTCACTCGTGTGTTCAAATTTACGACATTTAGTGAAGAAATTCTATTGATTAAATTTTTTTCTATAGAATACAGAACAAAATTGATTAATTAATTTTCTTAGATATTTCAAGATGAAAAGAAATAAATATTTCAAGTATAGATTTATTCGTAGCTCGATGAAGACGATATGTATCACTGAATTATAATAAGTGTTTTGTTATTAACGGTTTGTTCCAGGGATGTTACCTTCAGTTCTGATAGAGGGCGTGTTATTCCGTGCGCGATACCTCGGCTCAACGCAGCTGGCGTGCGAGGGACAGCCAACAAAAGCAACTAGGATGTTGCAGGCAGAAGAAGCCGTCTCCAGAATTAAGGTGATTCTCATGCTATATAAGTAGCAAGAGAAATTTTATTTCGCCAAATAGATGGCGTTGTTTGGGTTAGACATGAAAATTTGCTACTATATCTACATATATCACAAAGAAATGAGGGCTAACGCGTTTGAATTTGCCACCAGAGGCGCTAGTGTAGAGTAAGGTCTTCAAAATGTCAAATATCATACTTTATAGTTAATCGCCGTGCGTTTCTTTTCAAATAAACCTATTTTGTGCTCATTTTGGGGTACTTAAGATTCATTAAATAAATTATAAGATACGATCAATTCAAAAAAACTGAAAATCAGAGCTTAGTAAAAGAGGTGCAAAATTAAGCGAGTTGAAAGAACAGCTCATTAGAGGTTGTTGTTTATTGGGAATACTCGATATTTTTAATAAATTAAATAATCTAAGTTCCCACTTACAGGACTTATCGCGATTGTCACACCCTCTGGTGAGCAAAAAAGAAACTGTAGCCCTCATTGAATATTGACCATTGAAATAAAAGTATATAATAGTATTTTAAATTATATTTAATATTTGTAAACTATTTTGTATATCATATATGATATTAATAATACTAATTAATTTAAAATTGAAACTCTACTATATATATTCTTAAGCATGACCTTTATTTTATAAACGTACTATATAAGTATTACTAATTCAGTATTAAATCACTGCTAGACAAAGTCGCGAACTAATATCAAATTGCTCTTGTTTAAATCTGCAGTGTTTATTAAATTGTTTGGGAAAATAAAAAATATGCATTCTCATATTAACTGAAAAAAGGGCAAACGACCATTTGCCAGTGTGAATCGGTTAAATGCAAAACAATGTTGTCTATTGTAGATGTTTCTGAAACGAGCATGAAATTACTTGTCTATATTTTCACACTCTTCTGTCTATGGCACTGACTTTCGCCTCTGTTATATATTTCAAATAAAATCGCCTTCGCTATAATTCAAATAAAATCTCTATTTTATGTTTTCTGTAATTATAATCAAAAATAGCACAGGAGTTTGGCCTAAACTGCCATTATTGCGTAATCCTCTTAAACTTATTAATAATAAACTATATTTCTGATTTCTGCACGATAAATATTTCTGTTAAACACACATTCATTTTTATGTAATTTCATGCTCATATGATTAGTGTATTGAGAATGCTAGTGGGATATCCAATCTATCCTATAATTATTATACTTGGATAATCTTAAAATGGATTGTTTGAGAAGTAAGCTAGTTTTAGTTTTAAAACGACGTGCTAGTCCTATGGAATGTATTCGAAATTCAAATTCCCTCTGTGATGTATACCACTCTGGGTGCGAGCCTCTTAAGACAAAATTACGCGACTGAGACGCAAGTCCGAGAACTTGTACTGCCAAAAGATTTTGCTCTTATTGACTTGGCACTAGAGTATTTTTTTCAGTGTGATCCTCACCCCTCGACCCGACCCAGGAAGACTGTCGGATCCCGTATTGGCCGGCTAGCCTCCTCTGAATTGTTTGTTTTCGCTTTCTAATTTGCTTTGTGCTATGCTTTAGTCATTGTTTTGTCCGATCCTCTTTTAGGTTTAAAGGTAAGACCATTATCCTTTACAAAATAGCATGTTGAATTTGCGAGACTTAATTTGGGCTACTTATCAACAATTTGGTACAAAGCTTCTTGCGTTCTACACGTAAAGTAAAAAAAGCCGTAAACAAAACGTAAACTATTTTAAAGTGCTGTTTATGAAGAACGTTTGTGAGATATGATTATAGTGAATTAGTTTTAAGTAAGCAAAGCGTTCTTCGTAAACACTTAGTACGTTTACAAAGTTGCATTCATACTATTCAAGCATCATGTGTTTTGATAGTTTCCATGCACTATTTCATGTTTGCACTTTGTAGCATGAACATAACCCGATTCACACCGGCTGAGGTGGCCTAACGACATTTTGAAGGGTCCGCTTTACGCTAAAATAAAATCAAAGATAATGCTAATAAATTTGAAACTAATATAATGTTAGGTCTGCTTTCATATTAACGAGAAAGGAATCGCCCGCTCGCTTCTCACATACTATGTCGGAGTATATTTATGCAGAGTTTCTTTGCTCGCTTTTGCTCGATAATAGAGGGTTTTGTATCGGTTACATGCCTACATTACGAATACGTGATATTCGTCGCTTGATGCTTGATCTTAATCGGTTGAAATAATGCTTTCTAGACCGAAATACAAACGGTTCGTTTGCAAACAAGATGAGTTATTTATAAAAAAAAATCAACGTGCACGATAAATGCCCATTTGGCGTACAAATAAAAATCAACCTAAGTGTTCAGTTGTCATATTTTTTTGAAGCATGAAAACGGATTTATTGTCAAAAGTAACGCTATTAATTTGATAACGAAATCGAAACGACCGTAAGCAAAAGCAGAACAGAGAGAGTGAGTATGTGAGAGCGAGCGCGCTAGAGTGGCGTGTGGCGTGTGGCGTGTGGAGGGGAGGTTAGCCGGTGTTGTGCCGCAGTGGGGCTGCTCGGGGCCGTACTCGGGCGTGTACGCGGCGCCGGCGGCGGTGTTCCGTCTGTCCTTCCTGGGCTCGGTCGAGGTGGATGAGGACTCGCGCAGGCGCAAGAAGCGGCCCAAAAAGAACATGGTCGAGGAGGCCGTCACTAAGATCAAGGTTCCGCCTGATCTATACTAATGTTAGGTCCTTACATACAAAATTGGTGTTTGGTCTTCAATTCTTCAATATTAACTTGGGTCTCCCGCCTCCCGCGGGACTAGTTCTGCAGGTCGCAGAACGAAAACAAAAACGCACTGTGTTTTCTTTTGCTACACAGAGCCGTTTTCGCAGCACTGGTACCACGGTGGATCTCGTACTCGTAAATAAAACGATATTTCAAGTTTTCCATTTTTTATGCTGGGTGACGTAAATAGGACAAACAGAAAAAAAATGAATGCCGCCTAACGAAACACAAATACATGTGTAAATTTGAATTTGGAATTCTCAACCAAGGAGGAGAAATTTGTGATTAAGGCCAGTACGACAAAACGCCAATTTTGTATCTAAGGACCCTAATATTATAAAAGGGGAAAGACTTCCGTTTTTTTTTATTAATTTATTTGTATTGGATTCATATACTTCTCGGACGATTTTTTTTCTTTCTACGATATAAATAACTATCTGTGGTTAAAACATATTTTTATATTGAAAGGCGGCACGAAGTTCGCCGATTTATAGAGTACGTTTCATATCTGCAGACATTTAGCGTGGCCGATGAAATAATATATATATATATATATATATGTGCAGATAGATATATTTTTTTAAGTCCCCTAAATTGCTAATGCACTGAAACCTTGTCTAAATAACGCCCGCGTGACGTCATATGAAAATATGAAAGTATAGATAGAACAAAAGTCAAGAGATAAATTCTTATTAATTGCTTATTGAAATATTTATGAATAATCCCCTAAATATTGTTAAAGTAATTTAACATCTTTGAATTTGTTAATTTATTGCATGAGTTTTTGGTGAAGAATCAATATAAGTGTAAATTTCGAAATATATGAAACTTAAAAATGAAATATAAAAGAAAATACTTTGTAATAACGCGATTTCAAACGGAAAGGATTTTTTAAACAACCTAGAAGTAATAATGAAATTGAAGACATTCGACATATTTATTATTAGTGAAATTATGTTTAATTAATGTCTGAAATCATACTAGAAGTAGAAGTCAACCATAACAAATAACAACAAAACTTAACAATAACAATTGAAAACAACAAAAACATAAAAAAAAATGTGTCTGATCTCAACACTACCAAACTCAATAAGTGTACTCGTCAACCAGTATTTATTTGTTAACGATACTGATTTTAGAACGCAATCACGTCATCAAAGTGGCGACCAGGCATTAGCGATTTGCGGGAATTATATAATTTATCTTTTTTGATAACCACAGTTTGTAAAATACAGCGTACAAATTTTCTTTGAATTGTAATTTGTCGAGTTTCGTTTAACTTCAGTGAGCAGTCAAAGTTGTTTTTACTATAACTGGGACTCGAGCGGCTGGTGGTTGTTTCTGATATCGGTTTGCTGAACAAGCTCTGTGCTGATGGATACAAATCAAACCTAATTCCTTTTTACGTATAATACTATCTTTTTAGCTTTACATTAGTTGGGTACGGTTAACTCATCACATTTTTCTATGGGTGATCGTTCGCACGCAGATTGTTTTATTAATACACTATGCTTCCATTTTCAACTATACAATTTTTATTAAAAATATATTTATTGTCTCTTTTGCTCTCTGGAAAAATTAGGCCTTGGTAAGTACTATATTATACCACATAATTAATTAAATATGTAAATTATTAGATTTTTTATTATTAAATGTCATTATTATTTTCTGAATCCATTATTGTAATAACTACGCCACAAGTACAACATGAACAAACAAAAACAGAATTAAAATGTGAACATGATACTTTAGAATTTTTTGTAAATAAATTTGAAAGGCGATAAGACTTTTTTGATTGGGGCTATTCATCAAAAGTGAAAATAAATTTCAAAATTTGATTTTTAATCCCAAGTCTCCAAAATTTAATTTCAATATCTATTGAATTTTAGGATATTGTAGTATCCTTTTTATTTATCCTTTTTTAATTATATCCTTTTTATTAGGCGCCAGAGGGTGAGAATCAGCCTAGCACAGAAGTAGACCTGTTCATCTCCACAGAGAAGATAATGGTACTAAACACGGAGCTTAAGGAGATCATGATGGACCACGCATTAAGAACTATATCATATATTGCCGATATTGGTGACCTGGTCGTGCTGATGGCGAGGAGACGTTTCGTACCCCACGAGAACGACTCCGATCAACCGAAACTGAACCGTACGCCGAAGATGATATGTCACGTATTCGAAAGCGAAGAGGTGAGTGAACGACCAGTTGATTCTAATGCATCTAAGCATACGATGACTTAGTGTTTTAGGTCTTGTAATAAAATAAAAACCGGTAAAAAGATTAAAATATGAAATACCAAAAGTTCGTTATTGGTCTTTCTTTTACCCCTTTTTTACAATAAATGGTAGTAAGTAACTTTCAGAGTACTATGCATACACAGCAGTTAGATTACTATACTATGTTAGACTTCTGCAGTTCATTATAAACTCTGCTTTCAATGTATTATGGTTTAAAATCGAGTGTAGATTTGAATAACCTTTTTAATAACAGTTTTGAATAACCTGTAATGCTTTTAACTGTGCCTTTTAATGTTATCCCTATCCAATCAAAAAGTATCAAAATTCGACTGTTTGCTTTGAAAAAAGTTTGTGTAAACATAAAGTATATGCTATAGATGTGTTTATGCGTGAACTTAATCATTCTTTTTATTTCGTGGGTCAATGGTTATTTTATTATAGTTCTTAAAGAAAACAATCGCAACATATATATAATTTAGGAATAATACTGTTTAAACACATTGTATAGTACATATTTTAATTAAAATGTTTTAACTACTTTCTAGAGTTACTGCGATGAATGATATTCTTATAGTAACAATTAAATGATTATCATAATTATCTTGTGTACATTTAAAGATAAAATAAAGTCAAACATAAGTTTGTTCAACATACTTAGAGCAGTAAAAACAAGATTCAATACTGTTGTTTATTAACAATGTCAAAATACTTCGTGTCTCAAACTAACAGCATTTTTATTTAACTTTAAACTAGGTTATTGTTTGATAATTTTTTATATATCATCGAGTAAGTTTTCACAGAATTAAGATTGAAATTTATATACTTATAGTCACACTTAAATCAATGTATTTTTCAAATTAACAAGATAGAACACTTTTAAAAAACAATACAGTTCAAACTCAGCTATTAAAAGCACAGCTATTAATGCCAATGAGTGCCACATATATAATAATGTTATGCTATGCAAATACTAAATTCAATAATTGCAATGTACAAAACTTTATACATTTATGTTTTTTTTATACGAGTATAAACGAAGGAAACATTATCATAATGCCTTAAAATCTTTCAGGCCCAATTTATAGCACAATCTATAGGCCAAGCGTTCCAAGTAGCCTACATGGAGTTTCTAAAAGCAAACGGCATCGAAGATCACAGTTTCGTCAAAGAGATGGACTACCAAGAGGTATTGAACAGCCAAGAGATATTCGGTGATGAACTACAGATGTTTGCAAAGAAAGAGTTACAGAAGGAGGTTGTAGTTCCGAAGACTAAGGGGGAAATTTTGGGCGTGGTAGTGGTGGAATCGGGGTGGGGGTCGATGCTGCCGACTGTAGTTATTGCGAACTTAGCGCCCGCTGGGGCGGCTGCGAGATGCGGCCAGTTAAATATAGGTAAGCTATAGTTTTATTTATTATTATGTTTATTTATTCATCCATGTTTTGGTACAAAATAGGGATGATGACTAATTTTTGTTTGTTTATTCGTCAGGTAGAGTGTTAAAAAATATTAAACACGTATTTTTTTTATTTTTTTCGTAGTCATAAAATAACGGCGTTACATTGAGTTGAAATTTCGCATGACGTCACGTTATGGTACGTTTTCTACTCAACTGTGACGTAGCGAGCCCCCACTCCTCAACTCTAATGCCTGTTATCTAAGCTATTTCTTGTTAAATTGAAGTAAAAAAAAATACGTATCTAATATTTTTCTATTATCTGACTGACGGACTAAATAGAATTCCATTTTTTTTACCCAGTCATCATCCCTATTGTTAATGTATTTGATTAATTTTGCATTCATAAAGCTATTTTCCCTTTCCGCAGGTGATCAAATTATAGCCATCAATGGTGTTAGCTTAGTAGGCTTACCGCTGTCGACTTGTCAGACGTACATAAAAAACTCCAAGAACCAGACAGTAGTGAAACTAACCGTGGTACCGTGCGCGCCCGTTGTTGAGGTCAAGATAAAACGGCCAGACACAAAGTATCAACTCGGATTCAGCGTGCAGAACGGTGTGGTAAGAATTATTGTATATGTCGCATCATCTTTACGAAGATCACTTGATTTAGTTACTTTTTTTTTAAATTGCTAGTTACTCTATTACTTAATTACTCGATTGTAGAGAGGGCGTGATCATCGATACTTCTAATTTTATTAGAATGGTGACACTGACTTTGACAGTTCATTAACAAAAGCTAATTGCCGCCATTTTTGGCACACATTCTATTTCCGATCGCCGAGGAGTAAAGACATCTGACGACATCACGCTCATCTCGTTATATTTTCGTGTGAAAAGTGATAAAATGAAACAAATCCACGTTGGTATACACGCCTGCAGTGTTATTTTAAAGATAGTCCTCCGATATGGACGATCTATTTGGGCTTCGTAATAGCCCCTTCGGACTACCCGCCGTTATATATTTATTATCGAGGGCTAAAAAAACCCAAAGGAATATTTGGTTTGATTTACCGTTCCTGTAAAAAAATGAGTAGCTCGGTGGTGTAGTGGTTGCCAATTCCACGTTTAGTCATTAGTCCTGGCTGCATTTGCAGTCGTTAATACCCTCCAACTGGGTCAGCGTGAAGGCTCATGGCCCATCCTCCTTAACCATCTATAAGGAAGTCCTGAGTTCCTGCAAGGGGACGTAAAAGGCCTGATGATTAAAAAAAAAAACAAATTTTCCGCAAATAGGAACAATTTAAGAATGCATTCTAGTATTCCATCTTTGTTATTTTTCTGTGCTCGTATGTTTAGTAAATCTTTCTATTGAAGATTTGTTATGCATTGACCGACTCTGGTTACACCTCCCTTTTATGCCTAAGAAGTTTTTCTGATTATAATATTTTCTGTAAAAATTAATAAGAAGCGGGGAGACATTAGACTATAGAGCCCTCTGTACATCACTTTCATTAGCCTGTCGGTTTATCGATTAATGAAATAGATCCATAAATATATCTCGCAATCCGCATTTGAGTCCCGTCGACCAATATATAAGGCACAGAGAGCCATGTGTAAATAATAATAGTGAAAGCTTGATAATAAGCTCGATGGCGAAGTATATAGCGTGTTCGGTCTCGAACGCAAATGTTAAACGACTTTCACATCGGATGGGCGACCGTAAAATTATTATCTTGAGGGCTGGGCCCGCGTGATGGAATTTGGTCCTATTTGGAATCCATAACGAAGGTTTGCGCCTCTACCAGGCCCTCACTGCAGGATACCGAATCGCAGCGGGTTTAATCAGAAAGGCCGGGAACATTTTTACCTGCCCTTTTCAGGGCGGGGTGGCTGGGGGAGCCCTTGAGATTTAGAGGTTAATTTTCCCTGCGTTATCGTAAAAATATTTGGGTCGTGGAGTGTGTGGAGTAATGGCTGGTTTAAATGTAATTACGTATATTTTCAACTAAATTTTTAGTGATTAAGTACATATAAACACACAAACAAGTAATAATGGTTGATTAACACATAATTGATAAGTAAAAATTTAGGTAACTACATACTTATGAACTAAATTGATTTTAAAATTAGAATTTACTTAATTCCGTGTAAACGAACCATAAGTAGTAAGTAAAGATTTAGGTAATGTACATACTTATGGGTTTACTTATAGGGTACTTATGAGTTTAATAGGGATGATGACTGGGTTAAAATAATATTTCACTCAGATAATAGAAAAATATTAGATACGTATTTTTTTTTTCACTTCAATTTAACAAGAAATGATTTAGATAACAGGCATTAATGAGGAGTGGGGGCTCGCTACGTCACAGTTTTGTAGAAAATGTACCAAAACGCCACGTCATGTGACATTTTAAATAATTAACCCGACGAACGGCCAAAGAAATAACAGTCGTCATCCAAATTCTATTTAAAATTAGAATCCAATTAGTATTTGAGTAGTTGATTACGTGCGAACCATGGGGTGATGATTGATGTGTCTGGTGGTGGTCGGTGGCAGATCTGCAGCCTGCTGCGCGGCGGCATCGCGGAGCGCGGCGGCGTGCGCGTGGGCCACCGCATCATCGAGATCAACTCGCAGAGCGTGGTGGCCGTGCCGCACGAGCGCATCGTCAACCTGCTCGCCACCTCCGTCGGCGAGGTATACCACGCGTTACTAGCATATTAGCGCCCGGCGTACTTTGTCCTCGGTCCCTCCCAGTGGCGGACTAAGGGAGGCGGAGGGGGTGTCCCGCCGCGGGCCTTTGTCCCGGGGGGCCTCCAAACGGCTGCAAGTTCTCTTAGTCAAATCATAAATTGGGGTTGTACTGACTTTTAGCGGTCCAAGCGGGGTGGGGTGTTTGGGTGGTAATCAAAGGTCACATTTCGTAAATGTACATACATACTTGGAAGGACAAATATACGTAATACTTTAAATAATGGTCTACAACTATCCTGGGGGGACTCCAAATGGCTGCTGACATCTGCCAAAATCATAATAATATAATAAAGTAAAAAATGTATGCAAAATAGGGGAAGGGGGGCAATATCAAGTGTCTGCCCCCGCTGGAAAAGTTGTCAATCCGGGCCTATTGCCGCCACCGGCCTCCGATGAGGTTAGTCCGCCACTGGTACCTCCCAACAGTCTATGTATTAACAAATTTAAGAATTAGCGACAGTAGGGGTGGGGTGTAGACAACATAAAATACATCTTTAAAAATATTTTTAAAAAAGTATCATTCATAAAATAAATCAACAATTTAAAATAAATTTAATTTTCTAAATCTCCCTCAAAAACGTTACTTCTGTCACGGTGTCGCTATGACATCACAGCCCTCTGAAACTAATATCGTTATATGTTTACATCAAATTGAATTCTCCAAGTTCTGATATTAGTTAGAGGTACGATTTGTAATTTCATCTAAGAGGAGGGTTCTTTGACACCGACTGAGCTCCCGTCTCTCGACTACAACTTGTGAACATCAATTAATATTTACTAAAAGATTTTTCAAACTAACTCGGTTCGATATTTCTCTTCGTAATAGTTCATATACTCTCATATCTATCCCGTTTTATTCAACAACAAAAATAAAAATCATGTGAATCTATCGCTCCGTTTAAAGATATCGTTTAGATAGAATGTTAACTCTCCTCTAAAATAAGCTCCCAATTATTAATTTATTTTGAACTTCCAGTGATTTTCGAAGTAGATAAAAAAATGGGGACGCTAAAAAAAATTTAATTCTCAAAGTAGTAGGCACAATAACTTTGGGAACTCCTGAAACACAGAGTAAGTCAACAGCAAAGTTTGTGTGTATAACACACGACCGCGCTGGCGAAGCCGCTTGCGCAAAGCTAGATCACACCGACCTCTAGCCCCGCTGTGCACATTTTCAAAGGTATAGTATTAATGACGTACTTTTATTTGTTTTTAGATATTAATGAAAACGATGCCGACATCAATGTTCCGGCTCCTGACGGGCCAAGAGAATCCGGTGTTCATATAACAACACACAAGTGCCTGCTCGCGACATCCGCCACTCGCTCACGCTCGCCCGCCGCCGTACTGACGCATACTGTGCTAGCTTGTTTTTCTGTCTGTACTCTATTCATTGAGTCAATACTCAATATATATAACTTTTTAATCAGTGCACAGATTATTTTCTGCGAGTGTGTATGATTAAAAATAGTATTGTAATTTAATAATAGCATTTTAATATTTATTAAACAAACTGTAGGTATGTCGACAAATATCGGTCATTAACCTCTGAGTAAATTAGAGCGATCGTACGAAGTAATGTGTTTATATAATAAAGTCCTTTATCTCCGATGTTAGTTATATTAAAAAAGAAAAAATATATAATTATGATTTACAGTAACTATGACTATGATTGAAATTTGTGCACCGATTAAATTTCACAATGTATGTATGCTATGTATATTAAAAATACATAATTATGGGCCCCTAGGTACTTCTCTGTTCTACAATTACATGAAAACGATAAGAACAAGATAGTCGATCGCTCCGCCCATAGAAAACAACCGAAGCATGATCATAAGATCCGTTCACACTAATTTTCTATAAAAATAAAATAACATTTTAATAAAATGAAATATAAGTATGTGTAATAAAACATTGTAGCTATATAACAAAAGTAAATAGTACAATGAACAATAGATCAAAGATCGACAAAGATAAACTTTCTTTGTTATCTTCAATGAATCATTCATTTCACTTGGAAGAAGTCTGCCTGCTATGAATTGTTCGATAATGTTGATAATTTGAAGGAAATCTATGCGTACAATTTAAACACTGATCGTCTAATAAGCCAGCATAACATGATGGAGAATCATTATTAGAAAACACTTCATTCAAACAGAGACAATCGATCTGTACCTCTAGTACGAGTTCGTCTTTGAAAACTATAGCTTAGTGATCAATAAAACAAAAAAAAAACATTACAATATATATTACGTTAAAATTTATGAAGCATCGAAAAACAGTCGTGCATCTCGAATTCGTTTTCGAAAACTATCTTTGTCATATTTTGTTTCCTTATATTTCACAACGGCGCCTCTAGCGGAAACCATAATAAACTAAAAATCGAATGGGTTTCGAGTAAACGGCAGTATGAGTTACAAGTTTACCATCTAAATGAAAATAATTTTAACGGAAAACGAAAACAACCTTAGTTTCATTCGATTAAAATTTTTCATGTTTGAAAGAGGATTGTTCCCTTATGAAACACAATTTTATACATCTGATATTGAATTGAATGTTTTTTTTTATAATGTGTAATTACATCGTAATGGCAGATTTACTCTCATCCTATCCGATCTCAAAATATACTTTGTACAAATCGATTCACGGAAACTTCCTCGATACCCTTGAGAACATTAGTAAACTTAGAAGCGATGGATTGCAGTATTACCAAAGTATTACCCTCTTCGTTTCAATGTGTACCATTGTACATAGATAGCTTGTGTATTTTTCTGCAATGAATATAGACACTTAACTTCTCCTCGGTTATGTCACTATTGACAAAGCGGTCGTGGTCATGATAAGTCGCCACTCTTGGTGGTTGGCAGCGGCAGTGGCCTTAGCAGGGCCCCGTATAAAAATTTGTGAGAAATCTTTACCCTTCATCCTTATGAAGGGTAAAATTATGATTTCTCACAAAAAATGTTTGTATAAACTGTGCGAACTTTAATTATTTGTCAGAGAAATACCGCAGCACCTAAACAGTATTGAATCGCGTTGGCACGACGAGAGTGTAGCGAAGGCTTAATAAGTTATTGGATAGTTTAAACTAATTTGACTTGTAATGCCGTTTTTAATTCATTATTGTTTCCGCTAGAGTCTCTACTGTGAAATGTATGGTAATGTAATTGGTTTTCGATAACTATAAAAACTTTTACTAGAGACACTGATATTTGCTTTATTTCTAGGTAATCTTATGATAGAAAAACAAGCTTACTGAAGTTTGTGCTTTAGATCAGCTTAGTACGGCGTCAATCATGACATAGGTATTTACTAATATTTATTATGATAAGAAGAGATTTTGAATAATCACCTCAACAAAGTGCTATTTATAATTTTATTTGTATAATAGGTGATTGTATGTGTATTTTTATTTCAACATATTTATAGTAAGTATTTTTGTCTTGAATTTTTTGTAACCATATTATGTTAAGCCGTTTGGGGGTCATTTATAAAATACGTCACACGTTAAAGGGGGATCGAAATATATGACAATCGTACGACAAGGGGAGCGAGAAGCATCGTGACGTGACGTAAATTTAATTCAATATTATTAAGTGTAAAATACATAAATTTTGACGTCACACTGGTGAGTGAGGGGGGGGGGGGTATTATAGAATTGTGTAATTTATGTACGGCCCCAAAGTACGCAAAAGAAATCTGATTTTTAATTACTGGTACTTTTGTTATTTAAAGTAGGTAGATAAGGTTTTTAATATCTGGATTTTACTAAATTGATAGAAATATAATAAAACTGACGTGCGCGAGAACGGAGCTTAAAACGGTAGCTTAGCTGACATAATACTCAAAACATCTTATAAAAGTGATTGCAAGAATTTGCTTAAGAAATGCTTAGGTGGCTATTAAGATAGATAATAAGTTGTATTAACTGCGCTGTTCTATGGGTTTGTATTCATATCATTTTGTTCGAAATAAACTCGACTGGCATAAGTGAATACAATCCAATAGGTCGCAAGTAATGTACACATACTCCCCATCTCCATTTAATACCTAAGATTAAATATCAAACACTCTCATATCTGCTTAGATAGATTTTACATTGGGAATCGTTATGGTGTATCGTCGAGCTTAGGTCCCCATACAAACAAAATAGTTAATTCGTAAAAAAAATGTATTACATTTAATGTGGTGTGTCCTGTTCATTGAATCTCAACAGTAAATGTTTGTAAATGTTATTATAACAGTTTAATCGTGTTTTCGTAGCTCGACTGTATTGCCAGAGCAAATATTACTTCCCATAACGTTTGTGAGCCATATTCCAAGTGTTGCCATTATTTTTTATATATTTATTTTAATCCATAGATAACTCTTAACGGTTTAGCGTCTAACACCGTATACTAAAACATTCCAGCTATTTTTGTTGTTTATTGATTTTCTGTGTATATTTTGAGTAATAATTTATTGCTGTTCACTTAATTATGTTATGTAATCATGATAATGCTTATTTATTAACTTTTCCTTGTGAATATTTATAACGTAATTTACGTACAATATGCACCATAGTTCATACCATTTCATTCAGATATCTTTGCAGGCGACATCTCTTTAGGCCTACGACACAAAATATTACACGGTTTAATAAAATTATTAAATTATTTCATCAAATTAATACTGCTTAGGGAGTTGTCTACTGGAAAGATTCCCTTCCTAAAGTGTATAGCTTAGATAGAAATATCGCGGAATTCTTGGATCAGTTTGGCGACTCGGACAACTGTAGATTTAAATTGTGTCGGTGTTTATATCAAACGTCCGAGTGGCAACACTTCCAAGATCTTTCGTCTATGGTGATTAAAAAAAAAAAAAGAATTGATTAGTCGATACAGATACTTATTAAAAAAAAAGCATTATTTCGTGTAGCATTTCAAAAGATATATCATATTTTGTAAATTTTATAGTGTCGCTATAGCATTACTATATAACCTATATTATATTGTATGTATGTCCTGTGTTCTTAGCTAAGCTTAGCGCTCTGAGGACGAGTTTTTAAATATATTAATTTTGTTAACGTATATAATTTGTTTGTGACACAACTAGTCTATCCTATCGGAATTTCCGCTTCTAATTAATACCTACTATATTTACGAATTTGCTTGTTTTTGTAACTCTGTGGTATTCAAATTTACGTTGGATAAAAAGGTCGGCGTCCTAAAATTTAAAACGAACCCTTTATTGTTTTTAATTCTATTATTTAAAGTCATTAATTGACATGTAGGTAAAGCAATTGTTTCATTAGTCTTTATACAACTATGTTTTATATTAAATATTCTTAGATCACTTGGATTTAGTGGTAATAATTTTCTGAATGAATAGTTCAATATTTTTTTATATAATCCCTGTTTTAATTGAATTATTTATTTCGATCGTTACGACTCATTATTTTTATTATACCAATTTTACGTATACCTAACCATGTACAAAAATCATGATGTCGGACCTAAATCCAACACGTTTTCTTTCCATGAATATTGTCAAGTGGCATTTAGTTTTCATTTTTTGAATAGACTATATTGTAAATGGCGGCCAATAAGTTTTTTTTTCAGAGCAGATAAATATCTAGATCTGTTCTTGGTATTCAAGATTTTTTTCATTGATATACGATATTATATGACAAAATGGTTTTATCAAATGTGATAACTCTAGATGGTTTTGATTGAGTTATTCCATTGTTTAAATGTATAAAATATTTTTGCTGGTTAAACAGACTTAGGACGCCGACATTTCCCATTTTTAAATATTAATTCGTTCATTATAAGTGTAGGTATACAGTCCGATATGCAATTTTAAATTGCCGTTTGTTGTGAATAAGATTTATTTACATGAAACACTGATAATAAATAGCCTTTTATTGTGAAAGCTGGTATATGGTAGGTACACTGTAATATGTGAAATAACTATTGTTGTTCTCATTTCTAAGAGTATTATTCTAGTCTGCATTAAAGTTAAGAATAAATTGAACAAAGTGCCTTGTTGTTTGATTTATAAAAACTTATAACAAAAGTTGCCGTGAGTGTACCTAAGTAATTATAGACTGCTCATTAGATAATTAAAAGCATACTTTTCCGTAGAAGTAAACCGGTTTTCATAAAAATATTAAAGATAAAAAATATTTTTCACTTTATTCGGCGCTCAAACGCTACATTTGTATGTAGAGGAGTAATATAGGTTGGGGCTGTTTCCGGAGAGAACGTACTTACTGGTACGCGACGTTACGTATGTGCGTCCAGTGCAATCCAGCGAAGGAAAAAAGTTGGAATTTACAATGCATTTAGTGATCTCTGATTAGTTTTTTTGGTTTATTTTTCGTTACTTTCGGTCGGTTGCACAAACGTCCGTTAAAGCTTAATGACGTCTTTAAGTTAGGTTTGTATCGGTAATGTCGCATTAAACTAATGACAATTTTAATGAAAATGTGTGCAATTGGCTTATATTAGAGTTCGTCTTACGAAAGATGTCCCTTGGGTCACAATGATGTCGCTTTTATTGCAAAGGAATAAGAGTTATGCCTCGGGACTTCATTCTTGATACAGGCTTTACTTATATTTCGACATTTCAAAGCAACATGAACCGTAACATTATAACATCGCCTAGATGTCATATCCAATGGTTAGAATCGAGGCTAGAGTACTTCGTAGGGAGCGAACCCTAGAAGGTGGAACAAATCTCATATTTTTTGTGAAAAATACTGTTATGATGTGATAAAACTCGGAATCGGAATATACAAAGTCAAATTTTTACCGCTTGCCAAATTCTCGGCAGCAACGCGCTGATGTTTACTAGGTTTGAATAGGTACTTAAATAAATAAATAATCTAACAATACCTTTAAACGAGTAATTCTCGTATATCCTATTATACAAGACTTGCTCGTGTAATTAAAAGGTATTATTAGATATAAACAAACTGAATTTCGGAAACGGCTCCAACGATTTTCATGAAATTTAGGGTTTCGGGGACGATAAATCTATCTAGCTAGGTTTTTTTTTAACTAAAACAAAATATCGATTATCCAGGTACTAATCATTATAAATAATATATCATTATTAAATACAATAAAACTTTGTCCGGTCGACCTGTTAATTAAAAAATATCTATGATTTTTTTTTCATTGGTGTTTTTTGCTTCAGGCAGGATTCGAACTTAGTTCATATTTTGCTTCGATCAACATTGATACTGCCAGTGACAGAGTAGTCATCGTTCCGCGTCATCACTGCCCCTGTATGAATATACATGTGAATTTATTTAATCAATGTTAACATCAGGCTGGAACATGCGGCAAGTACCCTACTTGCCGAGCGCCAGTGTTAGGTAGGTTACCAGATAGTTAGACTAAAATATCTGGACAAAATTTGAAAAAGTCGGGATTTTGAGATCACAGTCGGGACAAAAAACTAATAAAAAATCCACTTTTAATTTATTTTATTTTTAATTTCTGTTATTTTATTTTTTATACTTGTAATACGATTTTACAGAATCTAACAGTTTTTGTCGGGACATATTTGTTTTTTTCGGGACTCTGGACATCATACAAAATGTCTGGACAATCCAGATGAATCCCGACCATCTGGCAACCCTAATGTTAGGGCAGGCGCCAAAATTATCGTTATACATAATATTTACTTACAGTTTAGAAAAAGCTTTACAAATTTCTTCATCCACATTATAGGCTATGATAGAACGGACATACTTCAAAATCCCTAAATTAAAAATAAAAGAAAAATATAATCTAAAATCCGGCTTCACGGAGTGTAGTGGTGAGGGTTAAGGACGCCATACGAAGTTTCTGACTCAGTTAAAAAAAATTGTAGATCCGGCTCTGATGACCATTTTTTTAATTCTTACATATATTTTACTTATTTGTGTTGTGTCATTGACTTGGCATTGTAGTCATACATCACTTTACTATTTATTATTTGTAGAATTCAGGAAAATATCAAGATCAGTGCGAAAATATTTAATATTTAAGCATAAAAGTAACAAAATTGTCGTGTTTTATTAATGAGCCTTAAAAATGTTTATCTATAATGCTCCTGCTCCTTAGCTCAAATTATCAAGTAAAAACAAATAAGAGTCCGAAAAATTAAGTATATCACAAGAGTTTCTTTTATTGGCAAATGGGGTTTGCCATCTGTTACTGCAGTGTCGTCACAGGAAACGAAAGAGGGGCTTTTATGCGGACATGTGGTCATTAGTTCATACCAACTTATGCGTTTTCTCTCGAATTGAACCCGAGACCTCAGAGTTGGAGACCTTGAAACTACGGAATGCAATCTCTTTCTCCCGAGATCTCGGTCTTTTTTAGCGAAATCGATCTCGGTTGAAATTGGACGAGATGAAAATTGTTGGAGCTGTTTCCGAGATTATAATACAGCAATCGCTCTTTTAAAGGTTTTAAGATAAAGAAATATAATTATGTCAAACAATGTTAAATACATAAAACTATATTGAAAATATCCGTAAAAATAAGTGTTTATTTCATAACACCTATATTTTTTCCCTAATTTATTCAAATATTGTGATTTGAATAAATATTACAGTAAAACAGTAAACACACAAAAGTGCCAATCTCACGAGAATTCGTAATTGGCGAGATCTCGCGGTATTGATATTCATATACTCTCGAGATCTCGCCAGAGTCCCAATCTCGCGAAACTGCATTCCCTACTTGAAACTTATGAACTTAGTAACAGAGTCGGCGTCCGTGGGAACTCGACGTGACAAGGGTTACAATGAAACAATACTAGTTTTTTTTTTAGGTTTACAGGAAATTGTTATCTCCTTTTTTGACAATTAATAGCTTAAGACGCGTTCCGATATGCTCAAATATTGCAAAATATGAAGGGCCTTTCTATAAAAAAATATAAATCCAAACTAAAGTTCATAAAACGGGTCAAAAAAGACAAACCGTTTCGAGAAAAGTAGGTAGTGCCCTTACGATTTTGTTTTGTATGTCTCGTCTTGGCAGATCATGCCGAGGCCCAAAATGTCATTTTCATTCCCTAATATAGGGACAAGACATGTAAGCCACATGTCTCTATATTAACTAATAGATAGAAATGAGACAATAATATCAAGGATAACCACAATGCCAGTTCTTAGTTTAATCCAAAAGTAAAAATTGTCAAGTCTGGGTTTAAATGAAAAATTTGTAACTGTACTGCCTGTACTACCTCCCTCAAATCGCCACAACCTGTAAAACTTAAGAATTCAATTAACAAACGTACAGACAGCAGCACATCAGGTTAGTAAAAAATTCTGGATTCCAAATTTATTTATCTACTTTATCCCTGGCACTCTGAGATGGAATTCGAGCCCATGACCTTTCGTAATCGAGGCGACTGCTCTAACCCTCTTTTTCTTTCTTTCGGTTGTTTGGGTGGATTACCTGAATATTGATGAAAATATGCTCTGTAGTAGCGAAAAAGTAATAAGTACTTGAAAAATTCGTCAGTCTTGTTAGGTTCTGGTTAGATCAGGGGTTAAGGTCGAAAGGTCATTGGTTCGAATCATAATTCGGGTCATGGATTTTTCATCATTAAAGCATTTTTCAAAGTGGATATTTGAAGCAGTTTCCTTAAGAATATCTCACATATTATGCTGTTGAGTTAGGGCTGCCATCCGTCCGGAATTCCCTGGATTTGTAGTTTGAAGGGCGTCCGGGGGCCGACCGGCTGGGATTTTTGAAAACTTTTGTTGTCATAACCCAAATTGAAATTAACCTTTGTTAAAAATTCATCCACAATAACTCGCATTCGAAATTTACATTGAAATCTATGATACGATTGACTGAAAAATACCAAAATAAGTAAAAAAGATGATCTTGTGAAAATTAAAATCTAGTTAAACTTTGAGTACTTTTAATAAATAATCAACAAATATAGGGTTTCGACTACCTTACTAGATGACTAAATATCATTGACGTAGTTTATTTAAAAATTTTAAAGTGTTATAGTTAGTTAGTTATTAGTAGTATCATATAATAATTTGATGTCTATTATTTGCTGCGGTTACATAGGTACATACTTTATTCGATTTTAATAACAAGCTGTATAAACCAAAGTAAAAATAATGTTTTTTATTTTTGATTCAAGAAATACTTTTTTAGAGGTGTCCTGGTAAAAAAAAACATACTTTGGCCAAAGGTCCGAGATATTAGCTGTGTTTACCCACTGTCGGCAATTATGTGATGGCAGTCCTATACTCTGAATATGAGTGATTAACTCGAAAAAACTATAATAAAAACTTGATACAATTGTGCACTCTATTCAGTTTTTAAAATTTATTTTAGAAAAACATATACCGTTAATGTACCCTAAGCTAAAAAAATAAAAAACCTCATTTAACTGATATGATAACCAGAGGTCGGAATTAGGTAAAGTTATTTATGTACTTGCATCGAAATGTGGTCCTTCCCGGGATTTCTAATGGACAATTTCTAATTCTTCGGACATCCGATGTCATTGATGTAAGTTTGGCAACGTCGTGCGTGCAGTAGTTTAAATTGTGTAAAAGTAAATAACTTTTTATTTAAAAAATCACAGGATTTTTTCTGCTCTTTAAAATTAATCTCGGGATTTGAGGCATATCCACTTTATTCTTTCGCTGTATGAAATCAGTGTAAGTACATGAATAACTCTACCTAATTCCGACCACTGATGATAACTCACTCAGATACATACCTACTCCTGGTCTAAAAGCAATAGCCTAGTGGTCATAGGTTGATTAGAATCAAATTTGTAAGGAATCCATAACTACTGGAATTAATTTTAAACATCACAATTAAAATATATGGATGCTTGTTATATTCAAACACATAATTTTTCAAAACTATCATAAAATGACCAGTTTTAAAATTAACAATTCAGTTTAATTTATTTTTTACCTAGCAGATTGCTTTTTGGTGATACATTATGGCCATCATTTATGTTATTACTATCATTTTTCATTCGCTCAATTAAGAGCATTTATATTTACAGGATAAGTAACAAATTGATAATTCAAGACATACTCCAAATATTCTATAAATATATCCAGACTATGAATCATATGATCTTTCCTTGTTGTTTTAAATATGAGTTATTATAAGTTGACTACCCTTTTCCAAACTTGCACTTATTATTTAGCCTTTAGTATTTATGGGATATCATAAAAATTAATTTTCATTATATCATAAGTGATATAAATAAAATATTAAAGTGTATTTAGTTACTCTAGTATCTTGCTCATGTTAGGTTATCGTAATTAAGCTTTGAGGTTATATTATAAATAGATATGAAAATTAATCTAAATGAAAAATTGGTTAGCTTTTGTATATTATGTATTTTGAAATTGCTCACAAAGCCAAATTAAATTTACATAAATACAATTTATTGATAACTTTTATACAAGAAGTAAATAGTACACAGAAGATTCACAGTGAAATCATGTTGGTGTTGCATATTCAGTGTAAAGAAATTGCTAAATGTTTTTACATATTGATGAGAATTAAATTAATATTAACAAACACTAGAGATCAGGGCTCTACCGCATAACTTTATTGATATGAACTTTAATTTTGATATTTGAAAGTTCATTATTCTAATTGGTAACTCGCCGAAGTTCATAGATCGTACAAAATTAAAACCAGCTGCACTTGTTTGCGCAGAGGCTTCAATTTTAAGAGTATTAAATTCAATGTCAATAACAACTCTGTGAAGTTGATTTAGTTAAACGGTAGACCCGCAGATAACTGATACATAATAAAGCACATCTGCACTCAATCGAAGGGTGTTCACAAAACGCTTACAAAGACATCCAACTTTGTGACGGTACACACTATCCTTTGTATAAAATTAACCAAATTTTTAACCATGAAATATATACATTTAAGTCTCCAGATATTCAATATATTTGCTATTTTAATGATAGTAAAAAAATATGCATACCTAATTACTGTAATGAAGCTACATGTGAATGGATTAACAACGATCTGTCGGGACCAACGATGCATCCGCTCCAAGACAAGTACGGGGCGAGGCTGTGTAGAAATGCAGGGAGGGCCCGGGCGATGTGGACAACCGCCACCAGCAGCCACTGACGCACTAACGCCCATTAATAATAAAAATTTATCCACATTAAGAATTGTCTCTTCACAAGTTATTTGGTCTAAGGTGTATAACATAACTTGCACTCTTAAAATCATGATATATCTGTTAGTATCTTGTTGCACCTCTAGTCGCACGCGTGGGAGAGGCACTGATGGGTGTGTGCAGGGCGGCACGGATGCTCAGTTGTCCATCGCATATCTTCGTGTCCACTCCTTAGCGTTTCTAATTGCTTCGCCTTCGTTAACCTTCCAGAGTTCAGCCACGTCGTTTGCAAGGGGATCGTCGGGATTCGGCGCCGACAATAAAGCTTGAATAGACAACAGCACCGTGCGGATTTGAAGTGCCGGGCTCCATTTATCTTTCAGTATATCCAAGCATATACGACCAAGCCGATCTATATTCGGATGGTATATTTTCGTTATAAACCTAACCTTAGGCGCTGACATGGGATAGTCCTCTGGTAGAAATAATTCTAATTTAAATAGTCCTCCTTCAAAGGGAGAGTCTTCTGGGCCGGTGACGATTACATGGAAGTAACGTGCATTTGTCTCACTGGGTACTGCGCTTATTCCTGGCACAGGCTCTTGCATTAGTCGCTGAGTCTCTTTGATTATTCTACGTGGTAGGGCTGCCATTTTAAATATGCGGTCTAGCGCAATTTGTCAAATAAAAGCAAGTAATCATATAACTGTAAAAAAATCTAAGGGTCCTTTCACTGCACGTGTTTACGTAATAAAGAGGCACGTTTTCTTAATTACAAAAGCATTAAATCCATGATAATTAGTACTAAATCGCGACTACAAAAGCGAAGATAGTTTAATTTAAACCATAGACAAAAAAGATTTAACAGACAGTCTAGTCGAGCTATAGAGAACACGTGCAGTATAGATTTGGAAGCGTTCAAGTTCACTTTTTTAGAGGGCAATGGGTTAACACGTTTTATGGCCTTAAGATTAAATCAAAATTGTGATATGTACCCAAAACCTTAACTCTATGCAAAAAAAGAAGCATAGAGAAGAAAATTAATAGATGTTAATAAAACAAGAACAATGCCATCTAGGAATGAGGAAGTCTATAAAAAAAACTAAAGAAGCTACAAAAATTTATGTCACTAGATGGCAGCATAAATAGTAGGATCTAAATGTTAATTCGGGACGTTAAATCAAAGAGAATAAAATAGTCAGTGTTGTATCTTATCTGATAACTCGGATTAATATCGAATAGAAATTGAATTGCTTCGAGTTACGCAAACGCAACACGAATAAGACGAATGAAACTTTAAATACATTTCATTTTTTATTTGTTTAAAGGAAAATGGAAACTAACATAATGAAAAGGATCGCAGAGGTTTTTTTAAAGTTATGGAAATCAATCGAATTAATGCTGTGAAATAATTAAAAATGACATTTAGCTACGGTAAACAATAATATTACCGTGAAATAGTTTGTATAAATAAAACACTTATGCCATAGTAGGTCTAAGAATTTTTAATTATATTATTTAACAAAAGTCCTGAAAACAAAAACAACTAGGTAAGTTAGTTTTGTTGCTATTATTTGTTTGTTGAACTTAAAACAATAAAACTAGATCAAGTTTTAATAATGTTTTTATATTATGTGTGGTGAATGAATGAACATTATTCAACAACAAATGTATATTATCAACATGAAAACGATAATTATAATAAACAATCCGATTATTATCTATATACTTACCCGATATGTAACAAATATACCAGATATCCGTACAAAATAACATGATTTCTGACTAGAATAATGTTTGTGCAAAGTATAACGTGCAAATAACTTGTCCTTTCGAAATTAAGAATTTAAAAAAACTTTGATCATTTATTAAATCTTATATTCATAATTAAATCATCTTAATAAAAGTCAAAGTCATAACTTTAAATTTCAAAATCACAAATACACGTACAGTCATTATACTATCGCTACTGATGTAGCATGTCGACGGCGGACGTCGAGCCAGGTGTGTTATGTTAATTCGCACGGTGGGTATGTGCTTTTTTGGTTCTTAGAAAAATATTATCAATAATAGATTGAATTCCTACTCAACCTACTCTAGAAATCTGTTTTATTGAAATATATTACCTATTAAGTATCTAAAGTAGTCATGCGGTGATGCGTATGCGTCGGGTCGTTACGTTCCTTTAAATATCGATGAGCGAAGTGATGACTGACTCATGTTTCAAGCTCGTCAACGGGTGCTGCCAGTGGCTCACCCCCACTGCACTGCACTGGACTATTTAATTTTGTCGATTTTCTTTTATTATAAATATAGTATATTGATTTCTCAATGAGTATGTAGGATTTCTAATATTGTAATGGAAAATGACTTCATAGTCTAATTAAGTCACATTCCGATAAAACTCTCTGTGTGAAGTAAAACAAGGAGACAAAAACAGGCCTTGCTGAGTTTCCTGCCGGTTCTTCTCAGTATAAGATCTCCCGCGTTAGTTTTGCGAACCGTTGGCAAAGTTTTCGACATTCACAAGTAATATGTAACAACCTAGACTGAATTGATTTTGGTATTTATATTAATATAATTCAACGTGTGGATGCATAATGGCACATATGGAAAGACTGCATATAAAAAACGGACTGAATTCTGCGTTCCGCTTTTTGTTCTTGATTCCAAACCTGTCATTTGAAGTTACGAGCAATCAATAAGTTGGTTCATCACTAATATTGACATATAAACCAAACATCGTTCCTTTACACGTAACATAATAAATAACTTAAACTTACGATTCAAATAAATTAAAATTAATTTAAAAGTTAGATATTACAAGAAACACAAAACGATGTATTTATTAATTTTCGATACTCAATTTACTTTTATTTCGTCAGATACAAAATTTGATCCAAACATCGCTAGTGACATCTAGTTTGATTTCAAGAACTAATTTTTATTTTTTAAATACTTCCTCATCGTTCCAGCAAGGCACGCTATTTGACCTCCGTAGACCATCGCTAATTCTATATAGTTTTGATTAATAACGTCTTTCGATTTCGGCATCATGTTGGTCCTACAAGACTCTAGGTAATTAGCTTTAAATGACCACTCCGAATACTCATGCAAATTACATGAAACTCTTCGTTTTCAAGAAAGATAAGCTAGATATCTGCGAAACTTGCATCTTAAAATACAGAATCTACAATCTGACAACGGGACCGAATACAGAAACAAAGAGTTCGAAGAGTATTTAAGGGAAAACGGGATAAAGCGACGATTTATCGCACCTTACATGATCCAATAAAACAGCGTTGCTGAACACAAGAACATCTCCTTATTCCACAAAGCCCGTTACTTGCTGGTAGATTTAAACGTGTTCAAGATTATTTGGGCCGAAGCTGTAAATACTGTAATTTATCTTGTAAATAGAAGTCTTACCAAACTACTAAAGGGTAGTACACCATGTGAGATGTGGGTAGGCAGACCAGCATCGTTGAATCATCTCCATCTATTTGAAAGCAAAGCTTTTGTGCTCTAAAAGACACGCCGAGGAAAGCTAACTCCTAAATCTATTAAAGGTACATTTATGGGCTATGTGTCAAATGCAACAAGTTATCGGATATCATACCAGAGAAAAATTATATAAAGATAAGCAGAGATGTGAAGGTAATAAATGAAATGTATTACGATAGCAAAAATGATACTTATGGAAGTCTTATTGAAAATTAAAATAAAAAAAAGATAGTAAAGCAGAAGTCATACATATACAATTCGAAACAAGAATGAACGATGATTTACCTGTACAGCAACTTGATAATGAAAATTACCCTAATCTAGATGTAAATACAGATGAAACGGTTGAAAATGAGATACATCCGGTTATACGGTCTCAAAGAAAACGAAGATCGCCAAAACGTATGAAGACTATATACAAAGTAATGATAATGAATGTGAAACTGATGAATATTATGTATGACACAAACATAGCAAAATAATCACACAATTTCACGGTAATATTATTGTATACCGTAGCTAAATGCCACTTAAATAATTTCACAGCATTAATTCTATTGATTTCTATAATTTTTAAAAAACCTCTGTATTCACTTCCATTAAGTTAGTTTCCATTTTCCTTTATACAAATAAAAAGAAATTTATTTAAAGTTTCTTTCGTATTATTCGTGTTGGGTTTGCGTAACTCGAACTAATGAAGAAGTATTTAAAAAAATAATTAGTTCCCGAAACCAAACTAGATGTCGCTATGGTACTTTCTTGATTTCTCCATGACAACCCTACCGGTTTTCTTTCATGTATAAAAGTAAATTAATTTCAAAACTCATTAAACAACTCATATTCTTTTTGTACTTTTTCGTATTTGTATTGATATCTTAGTGTTGAACTTTGAAAATTTCAGTTTTTTAATATGCTAGTTAAAAGGACCGGAAATGACTATCTTTGGTCCATTCATTTTCTGCAAAAATAAACTTTTGCTAGGGCCGCCATCTAGTAGAGGTGCTTTTTAGGGCTTTTTTAAATACTTCCTCATTGAATTTCAACTTTGTATTAATCCGAGTTATCAGATCCATAATAACACTGACAATGAGGAAGTATTTAAAATAAAATTAGTTCCCGAAATCAAACTAGATGTCTCTACGGTACGTTCTTGATTTCTCCATGACAACCCTTCCGGTTTTCTTTCATGGTTAAAAGTAAATTCGTTTTCAAAACTCAATAAACTACTCATAAAGTTAAAGTCAAGAAGAGAAATGACGTGGAATATCATAAATAGTGAAACTGGAAGAGAAAAATCCCGGAATATAAATTTTAATTTAAACATTGATAATAAAAAAAGTAACATTAGATCTTGAAATTGCTACAGTATTTGAAAATTTATTTACTGAAATTCCAGTCTTAATTACACAACCTTTGAATTCCTCTTCCGCTGTTGCTAAATCTATTTTAAAGGCAAGTTTAAATAACTGTAATAGTTAATTTAAGTTTCAACACATTGATTTTAAAGATATAATAAAATCTTTTAATCAGCTAAAGAAAAAGTAAACCGCTGATTTATGGGGTAATTCCATTGAAGTTTCTAAATCGGTAATTGAGACTATAGCTCCAATCCCAGCTTATATATTTAATGAATGTACTGATTATGGTATTTTTTCTGAGCTCATGAAATATAGTAAAATTATTCCTTTACATAAATCGGGTAGCACATCTGACCCTACTAACTTTAGAACTATATCCGTGCTACCTACGTTTAGTAAGATTTTTGGAAATATCATGCTGGATCAAATACAAACTTTAACAAGAATAACCTTATGAATCGATAACAATTTGGTTTGACAAGGGGTCGTTCAACAACCGAAGCCGGTGTCCAGTTAATACTCGTACAAGAAATTTTTAATGCCTGGGATTCACATGATGCGTTAGGTGTTTTCTGCGACCAATCTAAGGCATTTGATTGTGTTTTTCATGAAACATTGATTAGGAAACTTCATAACTATGGATTTAGAGACAACTCATTAGATTTTATTGTCTCATACTTCACTGACAGAGTACAGAGGGTTGATATCAATGGCAAAAGATCCTCTGGATCGAAAGTTAAGATGGGTGTCCCCCAGGGCTCAATACTTGGTCCTTTCTTGTTTTTAATTTA